AATTGAGAGGTTTGGTGGGGAAGATATTAGACCAGAACTGGGGAGATGCAAGTTCACATCCACCCTCAGCCCCACAGAAGCTCCTTGGATGACCTTGGCTCAGGAATTCTTGCTCAGCCTAACCTACTTCACAGGGTTGTGTGGAAAAATGGCAGGAAAGATTATACTACCTTGAACTCCTGGAAAAATCTTTTCTAACCACTTAGAAGTAACTCCCCAGTTGGCTGAATGGGGAAATAAATGGTATGAATATGTAATCATGTCCAAATTCACTAACCATATCCATGTAAAAAAGAAGAGGCAATTCTATTTAGAGTCTGAAAATACATGATTAAAAATGCCAAATTGTGGGCACTGACCTGCATGAGCTATCTTTTTGATACATTTAGGCATTTTTTTCTTTCGCTATTTAAATGTTGACATAATAATTCTTAATTTTGCCTCCCCCCCCCTCACACTTTTACTGCCTGTTTGAAATGGGACAAGATAAACTCGGAATATTAATAGGTTAAAATAATTTAGATGGTGATGGTGATGCTTAAAAATGTAATTCTTAGCTTCTCTCCCCAGTTGAAGATCAAAATATTGCTCAGAATTGGCAGAATGGATGTTGGGATGCAAAGATGACTGGACGGTTATGAGGCTGAAAAAGCAGTTCTGGGAAGTTTAGATATCACTTGTGTTGTGTTTATTTTGTTTATGTAGTGCCTTGTTCTACAACCCAGCAAAAAAATAGTATCAGCTTGTTGTAGCCTGAGCAATAGGTGAAGCCTAGGTTCTTGACCCACTAAGTCCTCCCCATAACTTTGCCAGACCGCATAGTTTAACCTTATCTTCCCCAGCTTGGTGCTGGACTACAAGTCCCAAAAGTCTCAGGTCAGACAACAGTAAGAAAGCTGGGGCCACGCTCCTTTGGTGCTTGTCGGCCTCTTGGACAGCTGTTGTCAGTTGTGAAAAGCTGGACTAGCTAGACCTCCACCTGATCACGTAGAAGTCATCATTGCATAATTAGATACACCTCAGTTGCCAGCGGTGCTAAGTCCAGAAGTCCACATGTCTGAAGGGCAGTCAGGCTGAGGAAGATTAATGCAGAGCACTGAGACCTCTGTCTATCTTAAGACCTTCAGATCTGGTAATTTAGTAGGGTAGAGAACCATTGTGATTGTTGCTCAGCTACAAATCTCAGCATCCTTCATTACTAACCAGGTTGACTGGATGTTTTCTGAAACACTACTGGTTGCCCACTCCTCCTTTACAGCATTAAAAATTAATGTGTTGTTTCGGTTGACTTCAGTTTTGGAATTGCTTTGTTCAGGCTGAATGCTAGTGCTGGATAGAGGAACACCCTGATCTTGATATATGATGAATTCAGGGTGTTCAGATTCCTGATGCCTGGCAAATTTGAGAAGGAGATTTGACCTCATAACAGCTCCAGGGGCAGAGGGGGGTCACTCTTCAGGCTAATAAATGTTTTGCAGTCCAAACAATAAATCTTCCCTGATCCCAGGAATTCCTAAAAACAGTTCCCCAGTAACTGTTATTATTTTCACTTCTGGACTGAGTCAATCTGAGCTCCGTGTGGTGAAAATGACAAGAGTTGTACTAAAAGCACTCTGCTTTAGCCACCGATTCAGAAGCTTTCTGTGCTCCAAGCTCTCAAGGTCACACTTTTATAACAGAGCAGCAATCTCACACATTCCCTAATGGTTTGACAATATAGTAGTGCAGGGTTTCTCAACCTTGGCAACTTGAAGATGTGTGGACTTCAACTCCCAGAATTCCCCAGCCAGCCTTGCGGGCT